CCTGCCTTTGTTTGCAGATTGATCAGTACAAGGGCATTTGCCTTAAGTGGCATTTTTAAGGGGGGTGGTGCCATTCCCAGGCAGAAGGGACATTATGAGCACTGTCTTGATTCCACAGGATGTGGCTACAGCTAGCTGCTGTCAGTATAGAGATGATCCTCCTGAGCTACCTTCCTACCCCAAGTGACCCCAAAAAAACAAACAAAGTGGTGACCCCACAAAAACAAACAAAGTGATCGCAGACACCTAGCTATATTCCAAAATAGTGAAAAATAAATGAAAGGTGACAGGGTGCTGCGCTAAGTGACTGCTATATGTGAACAAATGGATGACATAAGCTAGATATACATACAGTTGCAAGAAAAAGTATGTGAACCCCTTGGGATTACGTGGAGTTTTGCATGAATTGGGCATAAAATGTGCTGTGAACGTCATCTAAGTCACAACAATAGAAGAACACAGTCTGCTGAACATAATACTACACAAATATTAGATGTTGCCATGGTTTAATTGCACATAACATGTAAACATTCACAGTGCAGGGAGGAAAAAGTATGTGAACCTTTGGACTTAATAACTGGTTGACCCTCCTTTGGCAGCAATAACCTCAACCAAACGTTTCCTGTAGTTGCAGATCAGACCTGCACAACGATCTGGAGTCATTTTGGACCACTCCTCTTCACAAAACTGTTTCAGTGTAGCAATATTCTTGGGATGTCTGGTGTGAATCGCTTTCTTAAGGTCATGCCACAGCATTTCAATGGGGTTGAGGTCAGGACTCTGACTGGGCCACTCCAGAAGGCGTATTCTGTGCTGTTGCAGCCATTGTTTTGTTGAATTACTTGTATGCTTTGGGTCATTGTCCTGTTGCATCACCCATCCTCTGCGGAGCTTCAGTTGGCGGACAGATGGTCGTACGTTTTCCTGCAAAATGTCTTGATAAACTCTGGAATTCATTTTCCCATCAATGACAACAATCCGTCCAGGCCCTGAGGCAGCAAAGCAGCCCCAAACCATGATGCTCCCTCCGCCATGTTTCACAGTGGGGATGAGGTTTTGATGTTGGTGTGTTGTGCCTTTTTTTCTCCACACATAGTGTTGTGTGTTCTTCCCAAACAACTCAATCTTGGTTTCATCTGTCCACAGTATATTTTGCCAGTAGTGCTGTGGAACATCCAGGTGCTCTTTTGCAAACTTCAAACGTGCTGCAATATTCTTTTTGGACAGCAATGGCTTCCTCCGTGGTGTCCTCCCATGTACTCCATTCTTGTTTAATGCTTTCCTTATTGTAGATGTGTCAACAAAAATGTTAGCATGTGCCAGAGATTTCTGTAGGTCTTTAGCTGACACTCTGGGATTCTTCTTTACCTCATGCAGCATTCTGCGCTGTGCTCTTGCAGTCATTTTTACAGGACGACCACGCCTAGGGAGAGTAGCAACAGTGCTAAACTTTCTCCATTTGTAGACAGTCTGTCTTACCGTGGACACATGAACATCAAGGCTTTTGGAGATACTTTTGTAACCCTTTCCAGCTTCATGCAAGTCAACAATTCTTCATCGTAGGTCTTCTGAGAGCTCTTCTCTGCGTGGCATGGTTCACATCAGACAGTGCTTCTTGAAACCAGTAAACCCAAAACAGGTGTGTGTTTTTTAAGGGCAGGACAGCTGTCAGCAACACATCAGATATCATCACACTGATTGGAGTCAAGGTTGGCTCACTCCTGGCTACAATTAGCTCTGGGAGAAGTCATTAAGCTAGGGCCTCACATACTTTTTCCTCCCTGCACTGTGAATGTTTACATGTTATGTGCAATTAAACCATGGCAACATCTAATGTTTGTGTAGTATTATGTTCAGCAGACTGTGTTCTTTTATTGTTGTGACTTAGATGACGTTCACAGCACATTTTATGCCCAATTCATGCAAAACTCCACGTAATCCCAAGGGTTCACATACTTTTTCTTGCAACTGTATATCCCTTATCTCCAGGTGTGAACATAACATAAAGATGTGTAAAGCGGTGCAAAAAAATGCCAAGTGAAGATACCAGCAGCAGGGAATCGGCTATGAAGTGCTAGTGACACAGGTGAATAAAACAATGGCTAATATATACAAAGAGTGACTCAATCCCAAAATGATTGATCAAGAAAAATAATAATAATAATAATAAGTGACAATACCAGCCGCAGACAACCGGCTGAGAAGTGATAGTGACACAAGTGGATAAATCAATGGCTGATATATACAAAAATAATTGATAGGTGACTCAATCCAAAAAGTGACTCAGTCCCAAAAAAATCTATATGTATAAATATAACAATGAAAACGACAGTCCAAAAAAAAATCTGAAAAAAAATCAGAAAAAAACGCAGTGAATCTTCAGTGCATGCCATGACAGATCCAGTACTGCAAACATATATGAACAAATCCTCCACCGGCTAGCGTGTGCGCTCACCTTCAAAATTTGACCCACAAGGAGTCACAAAGCAAAGAAAGCCTCAAACGATGATTTCCAAGAAATAGATCCTCGATACAATCAGAGAGCAAAAGGTCATCTCCAATGGTACCGACAAGCACTCATAAGCATGCTCCAGCAATGGCCGCAGACCTCTGTCATCCACAGTGTCTTATTTGCCAATTTCGGGTTTAGTTCTTCTGCAATGGAGTCATTCAGTTTACGTTCAAACTGCCAAGGAGTTGTCTGTATAGTGTCCACCATTTCAACTAGGACAAACATGGTGGATGGTAGCAAAGACTACTGCTACAGGAAGCCATACCGGACCCGCCAGGGACTGGGATCGAGTCAGACAGATCCACAAACTCCTTCCCCAAACCTGCGCCTGTTACCTCCACCCATCCTACATACATTGTATGAATCTTTCACAATTTGCACATTATGCTGATGAATTGATCATATGGTTACTGTATGAATTTTTGCACAATATTGATTTGTGCTTTGATGAATTGATCATATATGGTTGTTTATACATATTTTTGGGTATATTATGATGAAATTATTGATTGTGCTTTGCACATATCGATTTAAAGAGACAGCACATCCATTTTAAGCATGCTTTAGAGTACTGCACATTATATATTCCAGTATTGAGTTTTTGCATTTTCTTTTATTGACACTAAGCACAGGTGGTAAGATTCTTATTTTGGCACAATTAAAAAAAAAAAACTGTCTTTTTAACTTCCTCTTTTGCATATATTCTATATTCTAAAAAAAGGTGCATTTTAAACCAAAACACTATAGACCTAATACCATTTTTAAAATTTTGCACTACATTGAATAATATTGCTGTAAAAATGGTTTGCCAAGGAAAATCAGTGATTAGGTTGCTGCGGAATAGAACTGCATGCAGCTACCTGGGCCTGGGGCTGACGCAGGTTGTGTGAAAAATCCTATATGTGGTAATGAGATGAGCAGTGTCAGGACCCTGCTTCTGTGCCAGATTATAATGCTGATTGAAAGTCATCACAAAATATGCCTAGAAGTGTAAAACTTGATGACTTCCCCATTTCCACTGATCCCTTGGCCATTGTAGACTTCTGCTAACTACAGTCAGATGTGTCAGAGTATATTAGTTCTCCTCAGCCCTCTGTGACCCCAAGTACATCAGTTAAAACAAAAGCCTGTCATCCGCAGCATGGTGTGCGCTGATCTGCTGAATGGAGAGAGGCACGGCTGCCCTTATCTGCAGATGAACTCTCAGGAGGTACAATACAGCATCAGCCTCTCTACAACATAAGAGATAGACCAGAAGAATGTGTTTTTATATCAAAATATTCTGTAATTTAAAAAGAAAGAAAAGCAGTTTAAAAAAATATTTTTGAATTGTTTTTGTTTTTTTTTTAAATTCATATTTGATGTATTATATCTTGTTTTTCAATATCATTATTAAATCTTTACTTTTTCAAATAAACAATTCAAAGAGTTACAATCGTGATACTCAGTTTGCCCAACCTGTATGTGTGTCAGGTGAACTGAGTGCAAGGTATGAAAAAGATGTAGTCTGTAGTATCTCTATCAAAGAGGAGAGCACAGAAACATGTTGCTCACTTGCATTCCGAGTTTAATGTGTTAAAAATATGGATCACATTATACAGATAATTACTGTCTTTATAGTGGCAGCTCAGGCCACGTGGAAAAGTGCATCAATTTGTATTAAAGAGTTACCATTACTAACATATAGAATACTAAACCGAGCAAGTGAATGTCAGAGCAAACACAAAACTGAACAAAGATAACTTAATGTAAGCTTGTTGGTATTAGTCTCCTGAAGTCAAACAACAAATCTTTAGATCTCCCTCTAGCTGCAGCCTAGTAATAGCATTACTGCTACACATACACATTACTTGCTACACATGCTTGTTGTCAGTCTGTGTATGAGAAAATGGATCAGTTCATTAAAGCGTATCTAAACCCCCCTCAAAAATGTATTACCGTATTTTCCGGCGTATAAGGCGACTGGGTGTATAAGATGACCCCCTAATTTTCCAGTTAAAACATAGGTTTTGGGCTATACTCGTCGTATAAGATTACCCCCCTTCTGAGGCAACACCATTTAACCCCTTGCCTACAGGGCACTTATACCCCCTTCCTGTCCAGGCCAATTTTCAGCTTTCAGCGCTGTCACACTTTGAATGACAATTGCGCGGTCATGCAACACTGTACCCATATGAAATAGGTGGCACTAATGGGCACTGATGAGGAGGCACTGGTAGGTGGCACTGATGGGCATTGACAGGCATCACTGATGGGCACTGAAAGGCAGCACTGATACATGGCACTGATACATGGCACTGATAGGCGGCACTGATAGGCAGCACTGACTGGCACTGTTAGGTGGCACTGACTGGCACTGTTAGGTGGCACTGACTGGCACTGTTAGGTGGCACTGATATGCAGCACTGATGCGCACTGATAGGCGGCACTGACTGGCAATGATAGGTGGCACTGATTGGCAGCACTGATAGGTGGCACTGATGGGCATTGACAGGCATCATTGATGGGCACTGAAAGGTAGCACTGATACATGGCACTGATAGGCGGCACTGACTGGCACTAATAGGTAGCACTGATTGGCAGCACTGATAGGTGGCACTGACTGGCACTGGCACTGATGGGTGACACTGAAAGGTAGCTCAGATGGGTACTCATATGTTGCATTGATGTGCACTGGTAGGCACTGATATGTGGCATTGATGTGGCACTGATGGACACTGACAGCTGGCACTGCTGGGGCTACACTGATCATCAGGGCACACTGATCATCAGTGTCCTGATGATCAGTGTACATGTCCCCTCCGCGGAAAGCCGATTACCGGCTCTCCTCTCCTCTGTCAGCGTGACAGCTCGAGAGGAGAGAAATGTCGATAACCGGCATTTCCCTGTTTACATGTGATCAGCTGTGATTGGACACAGCTGATCACATGACCGAGCCGACATCTTCGGCTCTTTCCGTGATCGGTGATCCACTGTGTCCGAGGGACACAGCACATCGCCGCGCATGCGCGGAGAATGGGAGGACGTCATATGAGCCAATCACGGCAAGTGATGTATTCTATTAATGAAAACAGAGCCTGCTCGGATTGGCTGCGTCAGAGAGGCGGGCTGATGATGTCACAACTTCAGCCAATCCGAGCAGGCTCTGTATTCATTAATAGAATACATCGCTCGCTGTGATTGGCTCAGCGCGGTACACTGTATGTAGCTGAAGCTACCGTACAGCGGTTCTATACCCAGCGTATAAGACGACCCCCAATTGTTGGAGTATGTTTTTAAGTAAAAAAAGTTGTCTTATACACCGGAAAATACGGTATATTTCAGCTTAGCAGTACATAGGTGGCTACATTCATTTTCTTTTTTCAAGCTTTTTTCCTTTTATATTCACCTAGTCCTAGGATGAGAATGGCATTTGTCTTACTGTATCAGGACAACACAAACAGGGTAGGACTACAGGACTGTGTTCCTCTCCTATTCTTTTTAACATGGAGATTGTGGTTCTGTATCCCTCAGAGACAGCTGAGATGTATTTGTTAACAGTGAGCGAATACAGGATCATTACGTATTTCTGGACTTGTCAAACAGGTATAAGGGAATTCTTTCAAATGTATATTTATCAGACTAAAAAGGACCAAATAAGAAAAGTTCATTGTTAGGGCTTATACACCCTTTAAGGTATAACATAATTATAAATATAAATAATATTCAATAAAGAATTCATGATAATTAAAGTGGTTCTACATGCAGAAGGTTTTTTTTTTTGCATTGAGGTAAAAAACTATCTGGGTGCTGCTCCACCCTCAGTCACTCCCATTATCCCTCCCATTATACTTACATGAGCCCTATATCAATCCAGCGATGTGCACAAGAGCCTCGGCTCTCCTGGGTCTCTCACTCTCTCCTCATTGATTCACACAGCAGTGGGAACCATTGGCTACTGCTGCCGTCAATCACAGCCAGTGGGCCAATGAGGAGAGAGTAGGGGGCATGGCTGAACTGTGCTCTGTGTTTGAATGGAGGCAGGGGACCCAAAAAGAAGAGGATCAAGGCTGCTCTGTGCAAAGCAAGTAAGTGTGACATTTGTTATTATTTTTTTTCTTTTCTTTCTACCTTTAGAATCACTTTAAGCTTGGTGAAATGAGCCTTAAGGCAGCTGTGCCAAGACTTTATACATTAAAGTAGGCATTCTGGGAAAACTGATTTTTAATCTCTTGACAGCCGCATAACACGTATTAGGTTTTAACATTTGCATACCACACATATGCATCCACGGCAGCTGAGATTTCTGTGCTGAAAGCACATACACTGCACACTCCCAGCACAGTGACCAGTGATTCTCTGGTTATGATTGTCAGCCAGCAAAACAGATTCCCAATTATATGACCAATGTGACCTCCAATTCCATTGACCATGCAGTCAGGAAGTCCATCCCACCCGAACCCCTGTCCCCCCCTGTTTTCCCCCCCCCCCCATAGCTGTTTGTTTCCATTATAATTCAGAGTCTCTGGTGTGAACTTTGAAGATGTGCCTGTAGCCACAGAGGTCAGTAGGGGCTTTTTAAAACAAGAATTGTTTGAATACTTTGTTCTTCAGTGTACATAGTCTGGCCACAGGTATACTTTAAGCTGGCTACACCGGTTACAGTTAATGAATCTCTGTACAGCCTCTGTTACATTTACCAACTAAGTAGTGCAAGGGCCTGCTTAGACAATCCAACCGGTTAGTTCCTGTAATTACATAGCAGTTGTAGTTTGCACAATGAGATTATCAATGTAGTGCCAACTTTAAAGTGGCTGTAAGGGATAAGCTTTTTTTATTAAAATAATAAATATGTTATACTTACCTGCTCTGTGCAATGATATTGCACAGAGTGGCCCTCAACCTCCTTTCCTGGGTTCCCCCGATGGCATTATCGGCTTTGTGACAGAACGCGGCGTCCGACCCCTGCCATTCTCACCAACTCGTGACAAAGAACCAGCCAAACTCACTCGTGTAACAATGCCACTCTCAGCTGCACACTGCACAAAGATTTTCCAGCTCGTGGGATCACAATCTATGTGCGAGCAGAATGAGAGCAATTGTTACTGGGTCAGGTTAATTACGCAATGAACCCTTCACACTGCCATCACCACCTTTTTACAGAGAAGGAGGAAACTCACAAATCCTAACAACAACACTATGATATTAGCAAAGCGTCTGCAACACACATTGTCACCACAGACAGGTATATTCAGAAGGCTATTACATACAGTAGCACTCTTCAAGAGACAGAGATTCTTTAGTTTGCATTAAAAGCTTTAGAGACAGTTTCAACATTTTTCAAAATAGGATTTATTACTAAAAAGGTCAAAATGGTGCAAATAAAATACTTAAAAAGACATAAAGAAAACAATAACGCAACAGAGAAAATAAAAGAAAGGAGTTAAAAAGGCAGAATACTTGCAAAGTCCTGGTTTAGCAGAATCCAAATGCCCGAGCAAAATGTTGCCTTGGCTCTCAAGTCTGTTAGATGTTTCTTGATTGGTGTTAAACGAGAGCTCCCTTCACCAGGCCTGTCAGTCCTTTTTTCTATGATATTAAAGGGGTGTCGCCTGGGAACAACTGACCAATCACCCGGTTTAGGGGATGGGTTCTAGGAGGACACCAAGTTTATGACCAAGTCGCACTACAATTTCATACTAATATTAATAACTTCCAATCTGTGTAGGTGGCATTCTGGCAACTGGCAGATTAATATTCAGAATTATATTTCAAACCCAAGGATACCAAACACAGCGTACCTTTGTCACCCAGGAGGGAAGAGACTGCTTTCTTCCCCTTCCTATGTGCCAACATAGTCATGTATGACTTTGATCTGTTCGGTTCGAAATGATATCTCCCAATATATACCTAATATTAATGTGCCCAGTTCCTGTTGGATGCTATGAACTGTATGTGAAATTGTGACATGTGGAAAAAGACGTTTTATGGCACGCTCTGCATTCCTAGAACCCTAATGGCCTAACATGTCATGTGTGATGGCTGACTGAGTTATTGTTTTACGATAAGGCAGAGGAAAGTGTCTTTGCCATACAGACATCCTGCTGAGCCTAATTAGTGGTTTACAGCTGGCCTCTATTTGTGTTTTATTTAAGATAAGAGCTTCTTTTGAAGTTTTGTTACAACTTACTGCCACAAATTCCATTTTCAAGATGAGGGAGGAGGGGAGAAATGGTTAATGAAAACAAAATGGGACCTTAACAAGATATTATTATTATTATTATTACATCGAGTTTATATAGCGCCAAAGGGTTTGCTCAGCGCTGTACCATATAGAAGATGGCTGTCTCATACTGCTTCGTGTCGCTATTGCGCATAATCATTACAGGCTTCTATTCTCTGTGCACCACCATAGGAAGCTGCTTCATATGGTGGCACACCTGCTGGCTCACTCCTGAGCCAGGCTGCGTACATTCGTAGACACACACAGCACAGCTAGACCCTGCCCCCCACTCTCCTTTTCACAGGATTTGACTGACAGCAGAAGGAGCTAATGGGTACTGCTGAAGTCTCTGTGCCTGTGAGGATGGGGAGAGAAAACCAGCACTTTATTGTAAAAGACTTTTTACCTTAAAGTGGTTGTAAACCCTTACATATAGCCAGTGAAGTGACTGACCTTGGGTGATACAAAGAGATGAATCAAATGCCCTTACGTAGGTTGTACCTGTTTATCCGCAATATTCTCTTTTCTACAGCCATTCAAAGTGCAGAATTTCTACAGTTTCTCTGAGCTTTCAGAAAGCAGGGGGGGGGCGGGGAGATAAAGTTACACTCAATGAGGAGAGCTGAGAGCTGATTGGAGGGAAGGGACACACCCGTCTTCACACATCACACAGGAACATACCTGAGGCTGTCAATCACAGTGTGCTGGTGATCCCTCCCCATCACTTTTTTCTCTTGGTGTCAGTAAAATATGTCAGAAGTAACTCATGCAGATTGCAGAGGAATCAGTGCCCATCAGTGTTGTCTGTCAGTGCCGCCTATCAGTGCCCATCATTGCTGCATATCATATCATCAGTGTTGTCTATCAGTGCAGCAGCATCAGTGCCACCTCATCAGTGCCCATCAGTGCTGCCTATCAGTGCCCATCAGTGCTACCTATCAGTGCAGCCTCATCAATGCACATCGGTGAAGGAGAAGAATTACCTGTTTGCAAAGTTTTATAATAGAAACAAAGAAAAACTTTTTTTTTTGCTCTTTTTTTGTTTATAGCGCAAAAAATAAAACACCCAGTGGCGATTAAATACCACCAAAAGAAAGCTCTGCAACAGATAAAAATTTCATATGGGTTCAATGTTGCATGACCATGCAATTGTCAAAGTGTGCCAGCATTGAAAGCTGAAAATTGGCCTGGGCAGGAAGGGGGTAAAAGGGCCTGGTAGGCAAGTGGTAAATGCAGAGAATGCATTAGGTCAAAAATGTCTTGTCTTTACAACTACTTTAAACAAGATAGTCCTGTTTCTTCTATGAAAAAAAATTATGTGTAGCAGTACTAGAGTCATTGGTTCAAATCCCAACCATGGCACCACTTGCCTGGAGTTTGCATGTTCTACCTGTGGCTGCGTGGGTTTCCTCTGGGTACTCCGGTTTCCTCCCACACTCCAAAGACATGCTGGTAGGTTAATTGGCTCTTGTCTAAATTGGCCCTAGTATGTGTATGTATGAATGTGAGGTAGGGACCTTAGATTGTACACCCCTTGAGGGTTAGGGACTGATGTGAATGTACAATATATATGTAAAGCACTGCATAAATTGATGGTGCTATATAAGCATCTGAAATAAACAAATAATGAAAAAAAATAAATGTGTGTCCCTTCTCTGTGTCGTTCAGTAATCTACATTCAGACTGCACAAGTATGAGCCTTTATATAGTTGCAGAGATTACCGTACCTGGGAACTTTTGAAAACTAGTAATCCTGAGAATGAGGAGAGGGTTTAGGTGGGACTAAATGTGTTA